TTTTCTGCTTGGTTTCCACAGCAAAGACTTCATCACGGTGAATACCGTAGGCCAGTGTCCCTATGGTGGTCCCTAGGGTCCTGCGGTGAGTGTTAGGAAATCATGATCAGGGACGAGCCTTACCTGCCGGAATAAATTTCCCTTCAACAATACTTCCATCTCCATGGCAACTAATCCTGTCAGTGGTTGTGGAGGCGGGGACAACTCGTGGTAGTGTAATTGGAATGGCTGAATACACCCTCAATGTTTCCTTGAGAACCGCGTCGAGGTATGGCAGATTCAGGACTTTTAGAATTGTTTCGCGAGGGAGGTTTTGGATATCCATTGAATGGGGCCAGCCAAGACCTGGCATCTCTGCTGACTTGGGGAAAGCATCGAGCAATTCGGAGTGCAACCTTTTTTGAACGTTCATTGATTCTGGGAGTGATATCTGGTACATCAGGAATGATAAAGTATCACCTTGTGTTTGTTAGCGAGATGGTTGTATTCTCCCCACTGCTTGTACTTGGCAGATATTCCAACATCTAGCCTAGGCGGGCAAGAAAGCCTGCTACCAGAATGCTGGTGATAAGGGCAGCTGGGGCAAAAGACAAGATATTGTTAACATACTAGTTGTGTTCATGCCCGCCAGCATTTGGATCTGTAGAAACACCATCAGTCGCCAGCTTCAAATGAAACCAGGATACGGCATATTTGGGTCACCATCCCCGGACCCGCAATCTAGAATCACAAGGCAACCACCATATCCGAACATCCTAAAGTAACTTGTATCGCTAGTCTCGCTGCTCCGATGTTCGGACTGCGGGATCGCCTTCCTATGATAACTTGTCGGAGAGAAAGCAATGAACCACCTACCATAGCCTCACTAGCGGCACCTCTATCGTCCCAGACCCCTTCGTCGCTACTACCGGTACCCTTTTCCACAAGCCTCGCCAGCATTCCGGCAACGGTGCCCACACGAGAATTTGACTTGGCATCCATATATGCGTCCCAACCCCACTGCTGAATCTGGCTCAGTGTCTCCCCTCCACGCACCCAACTCCTCACCATCCCCGCATAAAACGTGACCCGCTTAAACACATTCATAATCAATGGGAACTCAGTGTGCATCCAAACCTGGGTTCTTCGGGCACGGGCATAATGTCCGAGAATAATCTTGCGATGCGCTTCATTTCCAGCGAGAGTCTTCAAAGAGGCCTCCAACCCAAATATCTTCCCGGTGACCACATCCGTCGCGTAAAATGTGTTCGCATTATAAATATCAACTCTCCTATCGCTTTCCACGAAACTCAAATAATCCTTGACGACTTTGAGTACCTTTCCCGTTGCTGCTTCATCTTTGAGCACAAACGATAGCGAATAGGATTCCGACACTGCCTTTCTCCGCCATCCGTGCTCTTCGCGGGTGCTGCTACTGAATACATTCTGGGCCCCAAAGCTTGCGAAGACGGAGTATAGAGGAGTGTACTTGGAGTAAAGCGGGGAAGAGTAAACCTCTTTGATGGCTTGCCGGGAAAGAATCGAGATTTCGGTGGGTGATAGCCGAACTATCGGTCCGTAGCGCTTGTGTAATGAATAGGTCCCGACGGTCCTTTGGTTGAGTGCTGAAAGAAAGTTTATGTAGTGCGGAGTTATTGCCGTCACCAGTGGCCCGGGGATATGTGAGAGCGGGGAGAAGAAAATGGAAGAAATAAGCTTCCAAACGATGAGCACCCCGAAGGAGCATATCGCTGCAGTTAGATATCCTGTATTGGATATTCCATTGAGAAAATATCCGCTATCAATCATTATGATGAAAAATGAAGAGGGAGGGGGCAATTGGTGCTTTGTCGTGGGTACAGTACAGTACAGATCGGCTCGGCCCCTTTATGGTTTGCAACAATCCTTTGTATACTATTGTAAGCCGGGTCTCCGAAGAGCCATCGGAACCGACATTCAATGTTGAGGGACATCTGTGGCCGGAACCCAGGAATTTCATTCTGGGATTCGTAATAGCATGCTAATCTGCCTAGCTTGGGCTCAATACAGGTCAACCTCCCGCCACATCAATTAACTAGGTTTGCCAAGGAAATTAATAGCAATTAACACCGCTAGTCATCCCGCCTGACCTGCTTTAGATTGCGCCTATTATTGTTGAACGCACAACTTCCCAATTTATTCCAAATTCGCACGAAAACGATTAGATTTGGAACCGCCGCGATTGCCCACTTACATAGGACTTCTACATAATAATATGATGGCTTGCAGAAGAAACATTCCAGACATTATATATTACAGTACCCGAGCTGTGGGCAATAAGATCCCAGTTCATTGTGTGCGTCTCGCACTAATTTACCACTTGTTTTAAGGCTCTGTAAGGATTTCATTAGTGTAGAAGCAATTGGCCCCTTTCTTTCGTTAATGTGACATATCGGTTGGCTATGATACTTGCTTCCAGTAGGTTCGCATTTGTGGAACGCAGAGCAGGTGTAGAGTGGAGGCATAGTCTATGTCATAGTCTACTAAGGAAGAACAACAAATATCAAAGTTAATTCTCTTCACCTGATCGGCATAACACCCCTGCCCCACAGCCAAGTATACTTCATTCGCATCGGGGAAAACTCCGTTGATCAACCTCTGCTTCCCACCAAACTGTCCTCCGGGACACTGGGGCCAGACATCTGAAAACGGCTAAAACATGCCTCTACAAATCTGCAATCTTAGTTTCCAAGCCCCAGCATCACGTCAAGGTATTAACTACGCCGGGGTCCCACGCACCGTCCGCCAACCCACGCCTGACGGACGACAGCTGAACCCATATCACAACCAGCGCCTAAAGTATGGTATCCTTCCTATCAGGCACTCTCATTTTGAGGCGCGTTACCCTGCTCTCGTGCAACGGTAAATACTGCTCGTGGGAGCTGGGGCGCTCCCGGCGGACAGGCGCTCTGGCTGTCGCGGTCCCAGAGCTCCTCCGCAGCAGCGATGTAAATTCCATGGAGAGGAAAGAAGGGGATTGAGTGGGGGGCGGCGGTATTTATATCATAGGTGGCCAGAGGAAGTTTCTTTCGCACGAGGGTTGTCTCAGAGAAGGTGAGGTTTAGGGCTCTAGGAAGGGTTTCCGTGTAGCAGCATCACTAAGCCTCTATCAGAACTATGATAGAAAATTTAAATCCCCATTATATCATACCTGAACCACTTCCGCTTGCGGCCACTAGGCCTATTGTAGTTGTGAATACTGTACAAGTACTCGATATCATACCTTCCAACAATTACAGTTCCCTCGAATAGCTTGCATCATCCCGCCCGACCCCGCTGCTTCGCACCCCCGTAGGGCTCACGGATTCCACAAAACGAAGTTTTTCATCAACAGGCTATTAAATCTCAGTAATCAGAGGGACTATGTGACACGCAAACGGCGAAGCACTCTACCTGTACTCGTACATCTAGACTAGTACCAGTTCTCGAGCACTTTAAACACGATAAAACAACTCTGTATGGGGCCCATTCCTTGGCAGTTAATACTCGGCACGTGTTGTGTCGGTTCGGATGAATTCCACGATCGATGGTTCAGCTTTTAAATTTTTCATCTGGCTACGACTTATCGTTCGGGCTGCCGGTTCTCAGCTGATAGGGTCCGCATTTGCACCGTTTTATGGTGAGTGACATCTGTAGCGGTAATGCTTTGCAAAAGAAAATTATTGTTCGACTTCGGTCCCCAATGGATTCTCAACAGCAACTCCGATGAGGATTGTGGTCGCGCTTATAGAGAGAAAATAGGAATATGATATCTCAAGTTGTCAGTAAATGTTGGGATCAGGTGTAGGGATGTCCAAAGTTCCAGAAACGCCAAGCAAATACTCCGCGGTCGCACCCGGCTATCCCGCACCGGTATCTCAAAGAAGCGGAAACACCTCTAGAGCGTAAATAATCCGGGGGCGGATCTCTGAATTCTGGCCGAATTCCGAGCCGGTTGGGGAGAGGGGCGTTTGGGTATCGTACCTACGGTGTTCCGGGGAATCTTCCCCCCTGCTGGTATTTGTATTGAAACCTGGCCGCTAAACCGGGGCTTTTTGTCCGTCTGGAGGGGAAACTTTCTAAGATAAGGAGGGACATGGAACTCTCAACTACTGTTGTGGCGGAAATATTGAATTGCTGGATTTGCCCGGCATTTTTGTAGGGTATGTCACACTGTTAGGACTGGTTTTTAGTATGTGCGCCTAGGCAAGATCACCGCTGTTACTTGGGCAGGGTGGTATCCGGCGGTACCGGTATACAAGCCGTTCAACGTCTCCAATATTGACTTAACTAAATAATGGGAACCTTCTCTCCTTTCACCTACCCTCTTCGCTCCACCCTACTCAACCTGGCTGCCGAGATTTATAGCAGCAATAATAATATCTAAAGGGTGCAGTAAAGGACAATGTAACCTCTTGGCGATGTGCTGTATGATACTATACTCAGAGTGTTAATTCCTCCCATCCCTCAGAGGGAAAACCAAAGCAACCCTTGTGAGGTTTCATCCGTCCTTGCTTCCTGTTCCTACTTTCTTCTACGCTCCCAAACTAGCTCTCGAAGAATACTAATCCTTACGACATTCTACTCGTAATCTCCTCTTAGTATCACATTGTACCGCGTGTCTATCATTAGCTGCAGGCAGAGCAGCAGCTGCTAGAACAATAAAGGGAAAGAAAAGGGCAAGATACGGTAGATTGAAACAAACTCGGTCTTGGAGGTACTGATGGCCCAGTGGCCGCTCCCCTCTCCCACCCCGCCCCACCTTCGCCCGGAGCGGGTGGCGAACGTGGACCAGCCCAGGCAATTCCAAGCAGCGATATAGCGGGAATCTATAAGTTATTTCTGTTGTGACAGGGGTGGGAAGGCGCGACCGGCTGGTTGGATTTGTGTGGCTGTGATCCGATGTTACGGGAAGGGGCAGCGAGAGGGGAGGAGGACTTATAGTAGCACAACCTGGCTTACGGTTGTGAGGTCAAGGCACTTCACGATTTAATGTGGAACAATTTTTCTAGCCAGGTTTTTGCTCATCTTGAATTTTCCATTGATCTATCTCAAAGGATACCTTGTTTTAATGGATCACGTCTTGCCGAGGAGAGAATCTAGACGGAGACTAGATCTCAATGCTGCAGAACGATCCTAGATCGCAAAACATAATCAATACTCGTAAGGAGTGAACGTAACCACACCGTCCACCCTGCGGAAAGGTAGCACGTCCCTGAATGTCCTACGCTGATCCCACCGACTTGATATAGTAGAGATCTCTTAGCATTCAAATTTCCCCAGCCAAAGGATTATTAATGTATAACGTACTTGTGTGTGATCTTTACCCCACTGTTGGGCGTAACCTGTGTTTGGTAGCGCGAATATATTGTTGCGAGCAACAATTTCATTTCGAGAATAGAAAGGCTACATGAGTGATCATTGGTTAGCATGAGTCCTGCATTGAATCGCTAGAGCGATCTCCAATAACACATCGAACTGAACTGCGCTAGTGCCGAATGGCAGGACGAGTGAACCTACTGTCTTCCCACACAATTTCTTCCGCCGCTGCCAAAAGCCCAAAGCCTTGCCTCCATTGTTCGGATTCTTTGCTTCTCTTGTTCCAACTCGTCGGGGGTTAATTTGCCTTCGATACCGCCGTTGATCAACCACCTTTCTGGAACAAAGCTATCGACGTCTCCGGGCTCATCTTTCTGCTTGGTCTCCACAGCGAAAACTTCGTCACGATGAATCCCGTAGGCCAATGTCCCTATGGTGGTCCCTATGATCCTACATTGAGCGTTAAGAAATCGTGATTAGGGATGAGCCTTACCGGCCGGAATAAATTTCCCTTCAAGAATCCTTCCATTTCTATGACCGCTAATCCTGTCAGTGGTTGTGGAGGCGGGGACAACTCGTGGTAGTGTGATCGGAATGGCTGAATACACTCTTAATGTTTCTTTGAGAGCAGCGTCGAGGTATGGCAGATTCAGGACTTTTAGGATAGTTTCGTGAGGGAGGCTTTGGACATCCATTGAATGGGGCCAGCCAAGACCTGGCATCTCCGCTGACTTGGGGAAAGCGTTGAGCAATTCGGAGTGCAACCTTTTTTGAACGCTCCTCGATTCTGGGAGTGATATCTGGTACATAAGGAACGATAAAGTGTCACCTTGTATTTGTTAGCGAGATGGTTGTACGTGCATTCTCCCTACTGCTTGTACTCCCCCGGTTGATATTTCCATATCTAGCTGGAGTGGGGCAGGGGATTCCTTGTTAACATACCAGTCGTATCCATCCCCGCTAGCATTTGGTCCTGTAGAAATACTATTAGTTGCCAGAACCAAATAAAATTAGTATAAAGCATCGTTGGGTCACCATCCCCGGCCCCGCGATTGGGAATCGCAAGGAAAATATAAGAGTATCTGAGCGTATATTTCATCGCTAACCCCATTGCTCTGGTGTTCGACAATTTCCTAAAGGGTGAAAAACAACACACCACCTACCATTACTTCACTAACAGCACCTCTATCGTCCCAGGCCTCTTCACCGCTACCGCCTTCTTGCACAAGCTTCGCAAGTCTTCCAGCGACGGTACCTTCACGGGAATTTGACTTGGCATCCATATATGCATCCCAACCCCACCTTTGAGCCTGGCTCACCATCTCCCAGCCTTCTATCTCCTCTCCATGTATCCAACTCCACACCCTCCCCGTATAGAACGCGAACCACTCAAATAGATTCATGATCAAGGGGAATTCAATGTACATCCAAACCTGAGTTCTTCGGGTTCGGGCATAATGTCCAAGAACGATCTCGCGATGTTCTTCATTTCCAGCGAGAGTCTTCATAGAGGCCTCCAATCCAAATATCTTCCCGGTGACCACATCCGTCGCGTAAAATGTGTTCGCATTATAAATGTCAACTCTCCTATCGCTTTCCACGAAGCCCAAATAATCTTTGACGGCCTTGAGTACCTTTCCCGTTGCTGCTTCATCTTTGAGCACAAAGGATAGCGAATAGGGTTCCGACACGGCTTTTCTCCGCCATCCGTGCTCTTCGCGGGTGCAGCTAGTGAATGAATTCTGGGCCCCAAAGTGTGTGAAGATGGAGTATAGGGGGGTGTACTTGGTATAATGGGGGGAAGAGTAAACCTCTTTGATGGCTTGCGGGGAAAGAATCGAGATTTCGGTGGGTGATAGCCGAACTATTGGTCCGTAGCGCTTGTGTAATGAATAGGTCCCGACGGTCCTTTGGTTGAGTGCCGAAAGGAAGTTTATGTAGTGCGGAGTCACTGCCGTCACTAACGGTCCGGGGATATGTGAGAGCGGGGAGAAGAAAATGGCAGAAATAAGCTTCCAAACGATGAGTGCCCCGAAGGCGCATATCGCGGCGGTCAGATATTCCATATTGGATATTCCATTGAGGAAATATTCGCTGTCGATCATTCTGGTCGGAGGGGGGCAATGAGAAAAGGGGAACAAATTGATGGCTTGTCGTGTGTATGGATTGACTCTGTCATTTTAACTTCTGCTAGACGTCGATACCCACCCAAGTTTTGTAAGCTGCGGCTCAGATAAGTTTTCGGGGGCCGAGATTCCGGCATGGTACTGGGCAGGGCTATCGGTGGTGCAAAACCTTATCACAGCCGAGATCCGGAAGGGTAAGCCCTCGTGATACAAACCCCGGGAGGAGCAACGCTCCAAGCATTCCTGATGTCTGTGCTCGAGTACTGTACCGTAGTTTACTCGAATACCGGTACAACTGGTACTTGTATGGCGGTAGTGGGGCAAAGGGTAGTCTAGAGCTGAATCATGTTGGTATAATAAAATGGTCCGCATTTTTGGGTTGTGCTGACTCGGGTGCTTTCCTCTTTGTTCGCTTCTACGAGTAGAGGGGCTGGAATGGTTGTCGAGATAAGGAGTAAGTTAGTCTAGGGTAACTTATAAGTCCAGCCTGGAATCCTGGACAGAGGGAGGCGCTGTTCTCAACAAGAAAGGTCACCATTAGTTTAATTACGATACCCATCACATCACGGCGGAGGCCAATTCTCGCCTCACTTGTTGGGATTGTGGCACCACTTACTCAGCAAGATCACTGGTAGCCAAGAAATAGCGAAATGCTTTACGGTAATTAAAACGAAAAATACCGGTAGACTATATCAATAGATATATAGCTAAGGTCCTAGCCGCTCTGAAATTCCTATATCTGTGACAAATTCATTTGTTCTGTGCGTAGTTCTCGTCAATCTTTTGGTGTGACAGATCCCAAAACCGAACCTAAATAGCAAGAACTTACCAATGAATGCTCACACAAAAGGATACCTTTTTTGTTTTGAAAATTGCGAAAGTAACACATCGCCGCACCTGAGGTGATATTGCACCATATACGTCAAAATTTAAATCTCAAAATTATTTAGAATATCATACCCAAAAATACTATTTTACGAAGAAGTGATTTACTTCCACTGCCGTACGATAGGTAGTCGACTTCTGGCTGGGTGAAAAACAGCATTTTTGGTTTAAAAGTGGCCATCAACGAATTTTGTCATCTCACTGTACGGACCCCCCCGATACCAACGGTATTCGATCTCCCACTGTGCTGCGCAGTACTGTCCATTATATACCGTGATCAGACGCCGTCACCATCACTCGCTCAGTTCACGATGTGTGATGTCACACGCAAGGAAGCCAGATATCTGAAACACTCAACACTTGTGCGCCGTGGCAACTAAAATAACCCGAAACAGAACTACTTGTACAAACTAGTAATAGGCAAACATCTAAATGCCTGTTTCCACCTTGAAACAGAAACCATCCCTGATGTTGTCTCTCGATTAATCTCTATAAATCCTTCTTGCCGGCGTTCGCCCGTTCCCAACTCAAAGAAAAAACGACACACTTCCTCGCAGCATCTGACAGTACACTGCTTCGCCAAAAAAAAAAAAAAAAAAAAAAAAAAAAGTCATCATAGAAAGGAAAAGGAAAAAGACAAAGAGAGAAATGCTATCTGAAAAGCCTCAGAAGTCAGATACCAGAGGAAACCGCTTTTCACGATTTTTGCTCATGCTAAAGCGCAGACCGGTTATTCCACCGCCCGATGCTCTTGGGAGAACACACTGGCCAACAAGGAAAGAAGTGAGGGAGAACAGGTGGATTTTCGAGGGGAGGCTGAGTACCCTTTTGAGGAGGAGGGGTGGTGCCGATGGTAAAAGGGGGGAGAGGGGGGGAGGGGGTAGTATTTAGAGAGGCATCGGAGGTGTTGCATCGCCAGATGCATTGGGCTTTACTATTATTTTTTGCGTGACGTATGCGAACGGACGGGGGCGGCACCGGTATTGGTTCGATGCATGACGTGAAAAGAGAGTTGAATAGAAGCCGGAAAGGACCATGGATAACGAGATGACGAGAAATGTTAGAGCATTTGCATCAAATAGAATATCGAATGTTTTTCTTATTCAAAAATTTCTTTATTGCCAAGAACTTCCCGTAGTTTGATCGTTCCTCAGTGACTATTGGCACTCGTTGGAGGGGAGTCAGAAGGGAGGGAGAGAAAATACCGCAAATCGCAGCGACGAGCACCCTTATGTAGAAATTGTGTATATGTTTGTCCAAAGCGAACAACCAAGATCTCGTGGGGTAGATATTCATGGTGGGCATCGCCGCCTTTTCCCTCCTTCTTTATTTGTCTTGAAAGTTGACTTTGGAAACTATATATGCGTTCCGGCCGTGGAAATTTTAGTGGTTTGGGAGGTATCATATATGTATACCAGTCGGAACTGTCGCAGGAACTATATAGAGTTGCTGAGCTAGGATCTGTGTGCGGGACTCCGGTGGCTGTAGGTAAGGGGTAGTATTATGATAGCCAGGAGTTCTGGTTTGTGGTCCGGATTTTTGTTATATGGTTTAGCATGGTTATTTTGCTTTTTTTTTTCGCTGAAAACTATTCTGAATATTATCTCTTGGGTCCCCCTTTTACCCTAGGTTCCATCTATCACTACTTCCTCTTTTGCTTCCTTCTGCCCTCCTTCCTTGCTTCAATCCCTTGAGCGATATTTAGAAAAATAATGTGCTAGGTTTTGGGGATTTCTTGATAAAATTGTGAAAAATGCTTCCAGGCGTAGTTGCAGGTGAGGGGATTTGGAACAATATAGGTGGGACACCTTACTTACTTCACACACACTCGCATTTAACCTACTTGTCAATAACGGAGGTTTAGTTTCATATAACTCCTACAATTAGTGTATATCATTAGCTATTGCGTTTTCCGCTAAAGAGGCTTGGCTCTTACAGTACTCGGATACCAGGGTTAGTCCGCGAACAGTAAGGTTTGGTTGGAATAGTGCGCGCACTAAATGGGGTGTGATTGAAAACTGGCAAAATTCCTCGAACGCTTCCTGCCCTACCATTGGCTGAATAAACCCTGCCGTTCGCGGACCTGCCCTGATATCCTAAGTAGTCGCCAAGCGCGAGTGAGGTACTATAGCCGAAATGACTGCTTCGACTGGTGTCGGAGTATCATACTCCTGGACACCAACTGTAGTAGAGCGCCTGCGCCAATGGTGGAGAAGGAGGCGCCGGGAATAGTAGGGGATTTTGGGTGTGGGATGAACCGTGTGTCTCTCTCATTTACTGTGGTGGCTCGAGAATGTGGGCCTAGGGCCGGCGGCGGAAGGAACGTTTGCCGCCTGGTGGTAGATTCGGTAAACGAACCCTATACTGCTACAGCAAGATGCGGTCAAGATGGCAATTGAATTAAGTATGATATCATAAGTTGTAAGTTGTGAAGGAATTGATAACACTATTCGAGTGCTCGGGTGTGTTAGTAGAAATTGGGAAGTTACTTCCGCTGGTACCATATTACCATAAGAACTGGAGTATCACAGAAAAAAGTAGAATTATAGGACGTCGGAATCCCCCGTATTCGCTACGCGAGGAGAAATCACCTCAAGCACTGGCTTCAGTCAGGACAAAGGAAAGGAATATAAACAGCCCTTAAACCAGGAGAGGCCAGTACAGTCTCGTAGCAAACCTAACTCGGCGTATTCTACGTTCACCCGAAGATGAGGGACCCTGCTACGAGACCTATCATTGGCAGCTTCCTAGAAACTTAATACTAGGGCACAATAATAGTAAGTTCAACTTGATTAATGGAACCTCTAGAAATCGAGCTAGATGATATAAAGGGAGTTCAGAAATCCAAGCATTAGTTAGAGAGATGGTAACAGTTAGTCTTTGGGTAAGAAGTGGAGAACTTCATTGCTCAAGCAATGGGTAAAGAAGCGTTGGTGGGCAGGGATTGGGCGGTTTGAGTGGCAGCATTTGGAAGGGTGAGATTTTCTGTTTAATCTTAAAGTTTGTCATTTTCCATGCTCTATTTCCAAGCGTAAAGTAGAAGATGATATAGAAAGAGTGTAAGGGGGAAAACATAGAAAATCAAGACAAGCCCTGTAGCATAGCGAGACTTGAACCTCTTGCTAGGATGCTATCATAAAATCTCTGATAAGTTAACCTTAATCCTAATTGCGAAAGGAATTACATTTTGAAACGTCGCCGGTTTACCTTCTAGATTATGTGTACCATATCTCCTACGGGCCGAAGAATGGGGTTTTCTTATAATTGGCCACTAGGGTTTCGGGATCGAGGCGGAGTCGCTCCAGAATCAGATTCACTACAGTTCCGGTCAAGCATAACCTGGGTACTTTTGCCAATATTATTGTACCAGTTTGATGGTCTACTACTCCACCATAAAAGCACTTTTTTTCTTTTTAAGAGCGAAAACATGTACTCTTTGATGTGCTCTATCAGTGGTCGCTCTTAAACCTGTGAAAGCTTAACCAGTTAGAGAGGGATAAGGGTTTGAAGTTAGGGCAATTTGTATGGAGAACAGAAGTAATGTTACAGGAAAAACGGGGACAATAAAGCGCCAAGAGTATTAAGTGAAGCATGGAATATCACTTGAATGATATATCTCTATACTTAATGACCAGAATCAACACACTTCTATTAAGAGTAAGATACTATGGCCTTAGAGAAATATGCTACCTATTCACATATTTTTCCTTAATCCTCCAGTGACCTTTATATATATGGTGCTGAAAGTCCTTTGTACCATAGATGTATCCATCGTGATACACATCCATAGTACGAAGGCATTTGGTATAAAATTTCCATACTGTTGAGGTAGGAACATTAGACAATGCCCGAGGCACATTTTCTTGTAAACCATTCATCTTATAATCACAATTTTCCCTTACCTCACGCTTTACATATTCCCAAAAGTATTCAATAAAATTTAATTCACAGTGAAAGTGAGGATAAAAGAGAACAATGTGCCCATGGGACTCCAATTCTTCCTGCAGCTTTCCTTTCTGCTCAAGAAAGTCCCTCTGAATGCTGAGGATAAGTTGGCAACAACAGTCAATACCTTCTGACATGCAAATCTTTTTTTTTTTTAGAATCCTTACATATAGCTTTAAGCTTAGTATGATAGAGCCCCCGCTC